CGACTTATGCAACCGAATTAAACACTGTAATATTCACCGTAATTGTCAAGGGAATGAGGAGTCAAATTGCCCAAAATTGGATACACCCCATAAAATGTCATCCCTCCATCCGTCTCTCATTCAAACCATCCATCATCCCTCCGTCAACTTGACCACATTTGGCCCATTTTGTATTTCTCCTCTGTCTCTCCAGTCATCCGTTGCAAGTGTTCTTCCCCTCTTTCTCTCTCTCTTTGCAACTCTGCCTGCTGAGCTGATTGAACATTTGCTGTTCGCTGTTTGGATTCTGTCCCAAATCCCCTGCATAAACTTGAAACACCATGTTAAGCATTCCTCAGTAGAGTCCAACAGCTTGTGAAATATGTGGCCAATTTGTTCATGTTTGTAACAACACTTCATCCCGCCTAAGAAATGATTGTCTAAATCCACTTTATCTCCCTACTTTGTATAACCTTTCCCAAGGTCTTTTTTTTCTGTCTAACCCAAGGTGCAGCTAGACGGCTGTGTAACTAATGGAGACTCAAATTGCACATGCTTTCTCTCATGCGCACACATGCAGGGGAAACGGGCCCGATAAGCACACACACACACACGCAGATTCAAGCATCCAAGAACTCTCAAGGCTGTCACAAATCAATCTAGAGTTGTGTTTTTGTTAAGCAAAGGTGAAGAGTGGAGTATGTGATTGAGAACAGAAAGAGGTTGTAATCATGAACATCTGAGGGGCTACGGGGTACATTGGAGGAGTCGCCATGTCTTTTTTTCTTCTTTGCTCTGCGCCTACGCCTCTCCCTCCCACACATCCCTCCATTTTTCTTTTCTTGATGCCTTCAATTCCTTCTTTGTTTCCCCCTGTGTCTAATTCCACGCTCTCTCCTAACCTCCCTTACCCCCTACCTTTTCACCCCACCCTCCTTTTGAGGCGCCTAGTCTCTACACCTACTCTCCCTGTCCCCTCCTCCCTCCCCTCTACTTCTCTGCATTTTCCTCTCTTCATCCAGGCATTTATCGGGCCCCAACATATTTCAACTTTTGCCTCCACCTTTCCACGCTCCCGTCACTTCATCATCCCTCTCCTGCTGCTTTCCCTTGCTCTTTCAGCCCTTTCCACTCCTCTTTATCATGGCCCCCAATCCATTCCCCTATTCCACAGCTGCCAGCTCTCAGAACCTCAGGAACCGTAAATCTGGTGCAACCCCAAGAAGTGGGTCACCGGGGGACACTTAAACATGTAACACTCTAGCTAGGGCCTAACCCCTGGCATGAAAATCTCCTCACGCATGCACACACACCCACTCGAGCACACGCACACCTACTTGAGCGCACACACAGATAGGTTTTATGGATGTCTGGGCTTTTAACAGAGCAGTCTAAGTATAGGTCTGTGTTATTACAGCTTATGTTCTTACCTCTAATCAATCCAAGTTGTTAGGATTTGTTTGCAGGAGGAACAACAGGGTCTTTGTGTCACGGAAACCAGACAGGGCTGCAGCCTGGTGAAACCCACACCCATCAGAGCCTGGTATGTGCCAGAAAGTCTCTGGAGCTAGTTATGTTGTGTTTGTACGTGTGTACGCGTGCTCCTGGGATATCTGGTTTGAGTTAGGCGGTGTTCTCTGCGGCTCATGCCCCTATTTGTTCTGCTTCTTAAACACGCTGTTACTTCCAGTCGAACATTTCCTAATTCAAACATGATGGGAAAACCTCCAAAAGTCTTTGACTTCCCAAGTCCACAGCAACACTCGCGTGACCCGGACCTCATTAGAAGTTTCTAAATCAAAACCACACTGCTAAATCTCTATCCGTGCATCAATCTGGAGTGATTGCTTGTATGACTAATGCAAATGCTCTGATACAGTTCACACATGCTCAGCGACTGCTTCAAAAAGCAGCTGTCACTGTGTGTTTGAAACCGATATCTCAGGGATGATTGCTGCCTTCATGTGAAAAAGCTTGGCCTGTCCTCATTACCAGCCTGACACACACATTCTGTCAAAGAAATGGCACCAAATGGGACCAATTCAGGTTGGATGTGGCGTGTCTCCGAAAGAGTTTCTTTTCTAAAACACTAATCTGTGGACCACAAATTAACTGTCAGTCATCAGCAGGAGACAGACATCGTATCAGGGAAAAGGCAGTCCCCAACAAATCAACAACATGTCAATCAAACACACAACAGCAGCTCACAGCCATCGACACGAGAGGGAACACAGTCTGTGCAGACACTTTTACACACACTTTCACAAACACACACATTCACGCGCGCACACGCACTCACACTAGTTGGTGTGTCTTACATGTGATAGCACTTACTCCTTCGACTAATAGGCCCTAACTCTGTTTTCTCCATTAATTCAAGGTGACTCCTGGAGAGCACCAGAGAAAGGATATTGAGCCGTCCTAATTAATATACATTTACAATTTATACTGCCTAACTACGCTGCAATATAATTTTACAAAGCCCCCCTATCTTCAAAAAGGAACCATTTATGGACTAAGGAAATGTTTCTGAGCATCAATCTGACAACCATGTCTGCAGACATTAGACACTGTCTTGATGGGATGTGGAGTTTAATTGCTCAGAATCAACTCTGTAAGAGGCTGAGGAGAATCAAAACCACCAGAGCAGTCAGGGGGTGACAATCGTTGCATTAGAGGATTTAGAAATGCTGGCACAGAAAGGTCATGTATACAAAACACGGGGGGAGATGCTTATTTCTGTTTCAGTTGAATGATGAGATCAATACTGCTCTAATATCATTTAATATATCGGTACGTGCAAGTAGGAAATACTCAGCTTGGCTGAGAGAAATAGAAACTAGACAGGGTAGACAAGACCCAGCCAAGAATTATCCCTGTATTATCCTGCTTATTACCCAGCTGCTATACCAAATTAATACAGACATGAGTTGACTCTATTTGTCAATAATGAGGATTTTATTAACTGAAAATGTCTGCAACAGTAAATACCTTACTTCAAATTCCCCCTAGTCATTCACTGACTAGTTTTTCCAGATACATAAAACAACAGCAACACCTGGGAGAGGTCTTCTTACCGATAACTCTTCTGATGGCCTTGTCTCCTCATTAACAAACGATGTTGCAGCTTGTGGTTGCTTCACTGATTTCTTTGCTGTTTTACTATTTCTTCCCTTCTTTACTTCACTGTGTATGGTTCAGTCATTTACCACCAGTCTAAAGTTTTGCATTCTCCAGTAAATAGAGAAGAATATTACAAATAACATCGATGTTGTCTACCAAATTTAACGTTACACGTCACTGTAGCTGTGCTGTTATTTCTCTCTGAGGAGTGATTTGAATTTGTGTGGTCGATCATGGGAATGGTGTCACTATTCAGGATAGGTAGTTCTAGTTACAGGGTTTTGACCAGTCAGAAAAAAAAAAAAAAAGGTCACACTTCATTTGATGCCTATCTTGATATTGCATTATAGATATATGTATAATGAGTTATAATCACGTTATAGCACTGTATAACTATAGTTATGAACACTCATAAATGATCATGATGCTTTATAGCAATAATCATAACACATTATAAAGCATTTTATCATGACTTACAAGGTCAGGTATTATAATGTGAATGCCCACATAGATAATGCATTATACATAAATTTATGATGTGAATTAATTTGCTTATAAACTTGTATAACTATCTTTATAAACACTCATTAATTATCATGAGGCTTTATAACAATAAACATAACACATTAGCTAGTCATGCCCCACATCAAGTCCATTCTCCCCCCCCACCCTAGACCCCTTCCAGTTTGCATATCGGTCCAACCGCTCGACTGAGGATGCCGTCGCTGTTGCCATCCACTTAGCACTCACCCACCTGGAGACCAAAGTGTCTGTGTTTTTCTACCCTGCTATTTGCACTGCGGGTCCAAGAGGACTGTAATTTCATATATGCTGTATGCTGTCGTATAGCATATTTGACAATGAAGCTGACTTTGACTTTGATTATAATACCTGACCTTGTAAGTTGTGAAAAATGCTTTATAATGTGTTATTATTATAGCTATAAATCATTATGATCGTTATATATATAGTTATACAGTGCTATAACGTGATTATAACATATTAAACATATCATAATGCATTATAGAGATAGGCGTCAAGTGTGACCAAAAAGGGATATATAAACTGATATGGAAAGCCACTGCGCATATCCTGATAGCTAACGGTTTATTATTAAAACAAGATATAGAGTCGAGACAAATAGCCAGTATGGCTCAATCTGCATGTTTTGTCTATTATATTTAATCAGTTAAGAAAAGGACAATGCTTTGTTGGACTTTTACAGTGATTTTGGGGACTGAGTACTGCTTGGCCAGTTTTAATAACTTCTTGAAGTTTTGCCCTTCCTGTGCAGTTGCCAGGCAGCCAGTTCAGACTCCCGGGCACCAGAGCGCTTGTTTTACCATCAGACAGAGCAAGGTTGCGTTTCTCTCATGCTCTTACTAGCTGCACTAGCTGTCTACAGCAAGCATATCTTCTTTATCTAAAATACATTTAAAGATTTGTTTCTGTTACTCAGGGATTCACAGACTGTTCTGTAACTCATGAGTAATAAAACATTTACTCACCACGCTGGTGAGTTTATTTGTGAGATGTGGGATTATAGTGAAATCATTACAGACACAATGTAAGTGAGAAAAGACGCACAAACCAGAAGTAAAACGCTGTTCGTTGCCCTTAAATTACTGCAACTCATCTTGTTTTTTTTAGCAAGCTCTGCTGGAAAAAATAAATTATCACCCTGAGAAAATTCAATCATTGCCTATTAAATCAGGCCTTCACATGACAATCAACTGAAATTATTGTGTAAGATATGACGACAACATAATAACAAGAGGGAAGTAATATTTCCTTGAAAACGCCAATCTACCATAGCAAGAGTATAGAAGAGAAAGTGAGAGAGAGAGAGCGAGAGAGAGAGAGAGAGAGAGAGAGGTTGAGTCCAGTTCAGAGTGCTGTGGTGCTGATTGCTTGTGAAGCTGTTGTGTTCCTCTGTGCCATGTCTTGGTGGGGCAAAGCACCTTGCTGTCACTGCCATTCAGTCAGACAAAGCGTGTGTGCTGGCATGTGTGTGAGTGTGTGTGTGTGTGTGTGTGTGTGTGTGTGTACACCAAGTCAGCTAGGTATGAATCAGAGGGAGCGAATGAGGCCAAGGAGAGAGTGACTAAAAGATTATGACATCATAAAATGATTAGACACTCCAAACTGTTCGTCTATGTCAGGCAAATGCAACAGGCAGCAGCACCCCACCAAAAAAAAAAAATACAATGGACTTTAGCAGAATGGAATAAAATAGAACAGGGTGGGAGTTGGTCTTGTTTCTTTTGTGGCATGACAACATGGGGAAATGCCAGCTCTAATGTGGAAATCTAATGGTGAAAACTCAAAGAAGCCCCAGCAGTTCACAAATTGTCAGTCAACTCAGGCTTTTCAAAGTAGAATGGAAAAGAATACAAATGCATTGGTCAACCATACAAAACATCCATGCCAAGGCAAAAAAAAATGACACTTTGTGCTGGTCTTGCAAAGGAAAGGTATGAATATTTTATACACCTCTCTGACCACATAAGTCTGTTAAAGAAAAAAGAGGGGGGAAAAGAAAAAAAAGTAATAACAGCCTGTTCTTTTCACGGGATGCTGGCAGACGGACTGGCAGAGCAGTGCAGTAATGTGACTTCTCTAAAAGTGACCAGACACATTCTGTCTTTACCCTATAGTTCTGCTCAGGCAATAAATTTGTCACCCAACTGTTGACATCGCTTGCAATATGCTGCACTCTGAATGTGATCACCACATGCACTGTGAGCAAGAACAAGGCAGTGCACTTTCTTTTCCCTGCCCCTACAGATGCACACACACACACACACACACACACACATACACACACAATGGTGGCCAACGAGTCATAAAGTAATAAAACTCTATGGACCTCTGATGAAAGCAACGAAGAGGGGGTTAGGGAAGAGGAGACTCGCATGAATAACAATCATTGCACTGATGGGGGTGGCAGTGTGTGTGTGTGTGTGTGTGTGTGTGTGTGTGTGTGTGTGTGTGTGTGTGTGTGTGTGTGTGTGTGTGTGCGTGTGTGTGTGTAGGGGGAGGTAACAACTTCTCCCTCCTGCATGAGTGAAAGCAAACTCACAACCTCTCTGTTGTCATGCTCCTCCCCGCTGGAATGGAATCCACCAAATCGCTGCTAATTGAATAAGTGACAATGAGTAGGCAGACGAGGCGACAGATGCTCGCGTGCCTTTACAACCAAAACCACCAGCGCCTCCGTGCACGCGCATGCAAAACATTCCTCTTGTCTCCAAACGAAACCGGGTACGGAGGTAGGTTTCACTGACCCCTCCACCTGCTGCGCCTATTGACTTTGGGTGATGGGTGTGATGGGTGGAGGGGTTGATGCTGGCAAGCTTGCCATGAGTGTTTGCGACAGACGTTTGATTCACAGTATCACTTTATGGCTACAAGGTCCCGGCACAGAGGCAATAATGAAGAGAGCTGCATCAAGCCGCTGGGGGCTGTTTGTTTGTGCTGATCACATGCATTTGAAGGGAGACACTGATCAGGGCCTCAGAGCCGCCAGTGGATCAATAAATTTATCATTGGGGAGCTGCAAGCAGCAGGAGTTAAAGAAAAACTTCGAAAATCCGACAAACAGACTATTCTTGCACCTGCTGCTGAGCAGGAATATTTTTAGCTTAATTATCGGTATTCTTAAGCACATGGAAGGCCATGTTTATTCAGCTCCTCTGGTTATGTAGCGTGCCTAAATGTATTAAGTCTCCATCTGCTTTTTACTTAGATTATACCCCCCTATACATTAATTGTTTCATTCTCTGCAGTGTTTAAGACCCCCGTTTACCCCCACCTCCTCCAACTCTCTCGCTTTCTTTTGCTCCTTTCTTCCATAAACTCCGGAGCTGACTTTGTTCTTCAAATGTGATTAGCGTCTCTGGGACGCAGGAGTAATTGCATTACTGCATTGTGAACATTTGGAGCTATGGAAATGCTGCGCCCGTATCGAACCTGTTTAAATAAGCGCACTATGGTGAAAGATGTTCAAAAAGGAAGAAAATGCAAACATTTTGCAGACATGGCTCAGGCAATGAATAGACACTGGGAGCAAGAATAAAGGTTTTCCGCCAATTCAAGGCGGCGGGTTTTGAAAAGGAGCTTCTGGTTGATGTCCATGCACGTTTGGAATATTTAATAAGTTATTGTTTTCAGGCAAATGCGCGAAAAAGCTTTAGAAGCTGTGCAGATGCGATGAGTTAAACCGTTTAGCCCACACTGAATGACCTGGTTCAAATGGATAACATCTCCAACTCCTGAGATGTTTTTATTTTACATTTCTCATGCAGACAGTCAGTAGCAGCTGGTGGTAAATTATTCATCAGTTTTGAAATTCTGTATCCATCTATGTCTTATGGTCAATTATGGTCTCGGAAAATGATAGTGATAACTGAGAAAATAGTTTGCTAATAGATCAGCAAGAGAGGGACGTGTATATGGAATTTTGCCCTAGCCCCACCATCATATCTCATCCTCAACTACTGCTGTAATATTTGTTTTAACTTTTAATGAGGCTTTTAGGATCCCGTTACAGAAAACACAGCTCACCATTGATTCATTTTTTTATTTATTTTGTTTCTCTCTCCTGACTCGCCAGAAGTTCATGCAAGCGCGCAGAGAGTGAAAGTGGATCTGGAGAGGCTGTTTGATACTTAACAATCCCCCATGACAACTAATTTCCTCAGAGTTGTGTGAGGTTCGGTTCTTCGCTGGAACCTTGTTTGGTCGGCCGTAATAGCCGGGTCCTGGTGCCAAACAAACCGCGCCAGATGGTCTCCAGAATGCACGGTCCCAGTTGTGCATGTTCGTTAAATCTCTCTCTCTCTCTCTCTCTCTCTCTCGCTCTCTCTCTCTCTCTCTCTCCCTCTCCCTCTCTCTCTCTCTCTCCTTCTTTCTCTCTCTCTCCCTTGCGCGTTTGCGCGCGCGCACCTCGGCTCTTTTTTATCCCCTTACATTTCTCTCGCTTCTCAGTGTGCGCTTGTGCGAGCGAATCTATATTTTTTGTTTCTGGGAAAACAAATATTCCTGAAACTGCAGGGTTTTGAATGCCCCTCCGACTGAGGAAAGTCCACCCTGCAGGGAGTTAAAAGTGTTGTTGAACAGATTTGTGCACGAGGACAGAGCTGTTCTTCGGCGTGACCAACAATTTAAAGGCATTCATTAGAGTTCGGCTCCTTTTCTGCGCAATTCGCCACACAGTTTATCCGGCTTAAACTCTCCCCCATTGACAGCCGCAGATAAAGCGCATGTGAAGGAAAATATACTTTATAAAGCACAAAACATTTACCCTTAACTGTCTAGGGGGTGGTTGGGGGGGACAAAACAGTAGGCTAATGAATTCAAACACACATATGCCAAGGCATGCAGTGCGCTATCCTCATGAGTGAATTAGACAGTTGGTTATTGTTTGGATTAAGTGTTTCTATGAAAGTTCTATATCGGTGCGTAACGCTGATGATCAATGAGACTATGTTTTAGTTCTGTCCAAGGAGATTTAGACTCTTTGTGTCTCCATCCAGTCTGGAGAGAACAGACCTGAAGCGAGCAACTCGTAAACCTTCCTGTGGTTTTATAGGAGTGAAACACGACAGGGTAAGCTTGAATGACTGTTTTCTTCTTGGGTTTATTTCCCCCCCTGTCTGTTGTAGAGGCATGGTCGTTACTCTGAAAAAGTAGGGAGAGTGAACCCCACAGGGCGGGGTTTTATCCTTTACTTTTTTTTTCTTCCTCCCCTCTTGCACCTCCTTCTCTTCTCCTCTGGACTTTGAGTGGCCACCAGCCAGCTTTTGATTTAAGAAGCGTTTGTCGTTCCCGGGATGTGAAAAGGAGGCCGGGGCTGATGCACAACTAGTTGGTTAGAGGCGGGATATTTTGGGCAAGTCTGAGTGCAGAGGCACCTCAAACGGAGAGAGGGAGCGGAAGAGAGCGCACGGCGCACAGACCAGACACAGTGAGGAGAGGGAGAAAGACGCACAGATTTCAGCTGCTTCTCACCACACTGGATGCGCGCAACAGATCTACACGACAAGCGAGGACATATAGTAAAGAAATTGGACGCTTTTTTTGTGGAAAACAGTGCAACTTTTAAGGGCGTTTTTGGTAAACAATCGAATGTTTGTATTTTTTAATCTTTTCGCTCCTTGAAGAAAGCGATGCAGCTGCTGATTGACGGAGCACAGCTCTTTATAAGTTAAAGTCAGGACTGACCTGCACCTCTTTTTGGAGCTTTTTGGATCTGTTTTCTTGCTACAAAATTGCACGCAGGAAAAATGAAGGGGTTGTTTCTTACAAGAATGTGGAAAGTTTTGGCTGTTTTGGCGCTGGCTGCCCAACACGTCTCTGGTAAGACGTTAAAGTATCAAATATATGAAGAGCAGAAGGTTGGCACGGTAATAGCCCGTTTGAGAGATGATGTGGCTGATGTTCTGGCTAAACTTCCGAGCGGAGTGTCGCTCCGCTTCAGAGCAATGCAAAGAGGGAGCTTGTCTTTCCTTACGGTCCGCGAGCAGGATGGGGAAATCAGCATCAGGACCAAAATTGACCGTGAGAAACTCTGCGAAAAGAATCTCAATTGCTCTATTCAATTCGATGTGCTGACTCTCCCCACTGAGCACCTGCAGCTGTTTCACGTCGAGGTGGAAGTGTTGGACATTAACGATAACGCACCCCAGTTCGCTCGCGCCGTCATTCCCATTGAGATCTCAGAGAGCGCGGCTGTGGGAGCGCGCATTCCCCTGGACAGTGCCACAGACCCAGACGTCGGGGAAAACTCACTCTACACCTATGCCTTAGAGCCCAACAATTTCTTTAAGATCGACATTCAGTCCAGAACTGACGGTGCCAAATACGCAGAGCTTGTGGTGCTCAGGGAGCTGGATCGGGAGGTGCGCTCCGGTTATGAACTTCAGTACACGGCCTCTGACAGGGGCGTTCCCCCGAGAACGGGTTCGACCCTCCTTAGAATCAGTGTGGCTGACTCAAATGACAACAGCCCAATTTTTGACAAGTCGTCATATGTCATTAATCTCCCTGAAAATTCACCTGTTGGCACTGTGCTTATTGACTTAAACGCCACTGACGCAGATGACGGCACCAACGCCAAAATAGTCTACTCATTCAGCAGTCACGTGTCCCCCAAAATAATGGAGACGTTCAAAATCAACCCCGACAGCGGTCACCTGACTCTCATCAGGCGTGTGGACTATGAGACTGTTAACTCTTACGACATTGATGTTCAAGCACAGGACATGGGTCCAAACTCCATGCCAGCTCACTGCAAGATCCTGGTCAAAGTGGTGGATGTGAACGACAATAAACCAGACATCAGCATCAACCTTATGTCCTCTCAGGGGAACGGGGATGCAGCATACATATCTGAGGCTTCTCCTTTGGACACTTTTGTGGCTTTGGTGAGGGTGGAGGACTTGGACTCTGCGTTAAATGGAGAAGTAGACTGTAAACTTCATGGTCAAGGATATTTCAAACTGCAGAAGACATATGAGAACAACTACATGATTTTGACGAATGTATCTTTGGACCGAGAGAAGAGATCAGAGTTCAGTCTGACAGTGGTGGCAGAAGACAAGGGGACCCCAAGTCTCTCTACTGTCAAACATTTCACTGTGCATGTAACTGATGAGAATGACAATCCACCACGGTTTGAGAAAGGGCGATATGAGATCTTCAAATCAGAGAACAATGCCCCTGGAGCATATCTGACCTCCATCTTGGCCACAGACCCTGATTTAGATACCAATGGACAGGTGAGCTACTCAATCCTGGAGAACTCTGTCCACGGGAGCTCCATTTCCACCTATGTCACCATTGATCCTTCAAATGGAGCCATATATGCTCTGCGAACTTATGATCGTGAGGATGTGAGTCGTATCTCTTTTGTTGTGCAAGCCAAAGATGCTGGAAAACCACCACTGCTCAGCAATGCCACAGTTGTTCTGAATATTCTTGATGAGAATGACAATCCGCCAGTTATTGTGGTGCCCCAGCTCTGGAACTTCACCGCTGATGTGCCTGCGTCAAAGTTTACTGGGGCCGGAGACTTGGTAACCATGGTCAGGGCAACTGATCGTGACACAGGGGTCAACGCTGAGCTAATCTGCTCCATTGTCAGTGGTAATGAGGAAGGCTTCTTTCTTATTGACCCAAGAACATGTGAGATTCATGCCAATGCCAGCCTGGAGAACTTCCCCCATGAGCATGCTGAGCTGACAGTAGTGGTCCGGGATCAAGGACGGGAGAGCCTGAGTGCTAAGGCTGTGCTAAAACTCACCCTCTATGAGAACATGGAGAACCACGTACAGGTGATGGACCAGGGTGAGTCTGCCCTTGATGCACCCCTGATTACCATCATCTCCCTGGGGGCTATCTGTGCCGTGCTCCTGGTCATCATGGTGGTGTTTGCAGCTCACTGTAACCGGGAAAAGAAAGACATTAGACACTCGTACAACTGCAGAGTGGCTGAATCGACTCACCAGCACCACCCAAAGAAGCCCTCACGCCAAATCCACAAAGGTGATATCACCCTAGTTCCCACAGTGAACGGCACCCTGCCAATAAGAGCTCACCACAGATCACCTTCAGCCACACCCCCCATGGACCGGGCTCAGATTGGGAGCCGGCAAACTCACCACAGCCGCCAGTCTCTGAACAGCCTAGTGACCATCTCGTCCAATCACATTCCAGAGAGTTTTGCATTGGAACTGGCACACGCTACTCCCCCAGTGGAGGTGAGCACACATCTACACACACACACACACACATAATCACACAGAGAAACACACTCACAAGATCCAAATGTGCGTCCTCGCCCCCTTTGCAAAAATTTTCTCTCTCATTTTCTTTTAGTTACTCACACACGCGCACACACACACACACTCATAAACACGACACACATACCCACAGCACACACCAGCCCTCTCATCTTCACACAGCTGTCTCCGTTTGAACAAATTAACTCATCTCCATGTGTGACAGTGACTTAATCAACACTGCCCCGTAGTTCAAACTGACTCTCATTAAAACTCTTGATGATTATAGATGTGTCTTTGTCTTTACCTTGTTTACACCCTGTCATCATTACCTCCATCATAACTTCCACTCACCCCTCAGTCATATGTCTCCATATTCATCTAGAACCCCCACTCCCTTTTTGTTTTTAACATCATCCATTTTGTCTCATCCATTTTTAGCAGCCTTTCCATCATCCATTTTGTGTTTACTCATCCATTATTTTGTCTTCTGTGTTGTCTCTCTTTTTTTTCTGTCCTCAATTTCCCATCTGTTATTCATCCCCCCCTTTTTTTGTTTGTTTGTTTTATTTTTGTTTTGTGTTTTTTTTTTTTTTTTCGTTATTTTTGGATGTAGCAAGTCTCACAGCTTCTGTCCATGCTCCATCAGGGCCAGTACCAGCCCAGACCCAGTTTCCGTGGCAACAAATACTCCCGCAGCTACAGGTAATTTACCCCTGTTCAGTCCCCCCCCCCCCCCCCCCCAAACCTCCCCTAAAAAAGATTGCCTTTTGTTATTTTTGAGACCACTTGTTATTCATTGTGTATTACATGTTGCAACGACCTGTTGTAAACTGTTGCCTGTCAGTTGGTCAGTTGTATGTAGATCATGGTTTGATGGCGTGTTAATGTATTTCTTTTTTCATGTCCCAATTGTTATCATACCAAGTCACTCAGTTCAAAAGTATGCAGCTCATTTGTCTAAATGTCACAACAATGTTCCTGGTAGTTCTCAAAAAAAAAAAAAAAAAAAAAAAAAGAGTTCAAGTTGTATTGTGTGCATAAATAATTACTTTCATCATGATACCGCATTATAATCTCAAAGATGATAGATTTATTGACGCCCCTAGTGGTTGTTGTGATAGATTTATTGATGGGATCTACCTGCATGTTGAATTTATGAGCTGTGACTTGTCTTGAGATTTGACAGATTCAAGAGGCAATGTTAAGTTTTATATGATGGATTTATACGTCATTAGTCATCTCTGAGGACAAAATGTTTCAAACAGCCTGCAAAACAGATTGCAGACCATTTTGTGTCTCCACAAATAGACCTCTCAGGTTTTTTTGTTTGTTTTTTTTGGCAGATGCCCCATCTCTGATCGATTGATAAGTATGTGATTGTAATCTTCTTCTAAACCTTTCTCTTAGGTATGCATTACAAGACATGGACAAGTTCAGCCTGAAGGACAGTGGCCGTGGGGACAGCGAGGCGGGGGACAGTGACTGTGACATGGGGCGAGAATCTCCCGTGGACAGACTGCTGCTGGGGGAGGGCTTTTCTGATCTAATTCACTTTGAAATGCACCATCGACTCCACCCAGGTGAGCTCTTAGTGACATAACATATTCCAGAAATAACTTTTTACCCCTGATTTTGCACTTCCTTGTAAAGGCTTCATCAGCTGAATTGGCCCTTTTCAGCTTACACCCCCTAAAGAGCCAACTCAAAATCCACTGCCACCTCACTTTTGAAAGCCCACTCCTGCCATAACTCATCATATCTTGCATAGGATGTGAAGTCTCTCTTTTTTTTTTAAAGTTATTTTTGCAGTTACTTTTACCAAAAAAAGGGGGTAATTTTTTCGAACAGCTCAACTCTGCTTCTGACGCCACACTTACATAGATGAGCAGTGATCTGACCCGGCCTAACCCAGCCCTCTAATGTTGCTGCTGCCTGAAAAAATTCAGCACCACGGACAGCACCAGTCCTAAGTCCATTATTTGTCCTTACACCTGTCTACACAGCCTCTCCATTCACCCCCTTGCCAACACAATCCCCATTGTCCTCTGCCCCATTCTTCCACACAGCCCTCATTTCCACGCTCGTTATCACACTGAGAGAGGTTACTGTGTGTTGGGATGTTTGTGTAACTGTGTGTGGTTGTGCTTGTGTGTGTGTGTGTGTGCGTTATCTGCCCCTAAGTTAGAGTCGTGTCTGTAAAATCCTCCCTGGAGCAGAGATGAGTCGCCTGTCACTCATCGGTATGCGTCTCAGTGTGCTGTTTTTTTCCCCCCTTCCTCCTTTTTCTTTTCTTTCTCTTTTTCCCCCTGTGGTGAGTGACAGTGGTGCGCTTTCATGTCTGAACTGAGGAGAATTCATAGTAATTGCTTTTAGAATGATGTTATTCTCTCTCCCTCTCTTTCTCATGCACATACTCCGTCTTTCGCTCACTCTCTTTTTCATGCCTGAGCTCCTCAGCATCTCTTTTTTTTTCCTCTACCTGTTAATGTATTCTCTTTTTTCATTGAGGTGGATAAAGAGAGGGGCGGTAGTGGACATGGACAGTCTGTATATCACTTTTTTTCTTTACTCTCTGAGAAAGACTTGGAGGTGTTGCACCCCTCCCCGCTCCCCCTCCTTCCCTGTATCTTTTATGCTAATATGAAAACAGGGGAGGGAAAAGAGATAATGGGCCGAAGGGGAGGATTATCCCTGTTTCTCTTCAATAGATTTAATTTGTTTAGATTTTTCTATTTAGATGGGCAAATGTGGCTATTCATGCTGGATATGATAGAACAAGCAAATCCCTGCCTCGCCTGTGTATTCGAGAGATGTGGACATGTTCAGCAGAGCAAATATTACATTAACATCAGCCTGTAATGCTATTTGGGTGGGTTGTTGCAATTATTAGTTCATTATCTAGTTCCCATGACTGTTTTCATCCCGTGCCCTACCTAGATATGGATGCTGTTAGCGGTAAATGTCACCGGTCTGCTCCCCCAAGCAGGAATATAAAGAGATAGTGTTGGAAAAATGATCACAACAAGCTGAGCTGTGGTTTTGATATTAATGAAAGACTAAAGCACCATCACGTTTAATATTTAATGGGTGTTGTACATGGAGTATTCATACACTGACTGAATAGGACATGGTTTGTTTGATGCACCAGCAATCCCTGTCCTTGTTTCCATGCTATAAAAAAAAAAGTCTCCTTGACCTCCAGCTGCACTGTCTCCTCAAACAGAACACTACCTTTCCTCCAATGAAAAGTCTTACCATTTGTGGCTTGTGTTGTTGAGGTGTATTGACATTTTTTGCACCGTAACAACAAATATCTCCAACAAAGCCCCTCTCCCTGAGGAGGTTTGAACACCTCACTTGCAGGTTTTGCAGTCAGTCCCTGTTCTGTTATTCTGTTTCATTTATAGTGCATGTCATACGTTCATTTTTGTTTTTTTTCTGTAGCTTGACCTGCTCCTGACTTTTTGTTTCTTCTCTGTTTTTAGCTATGAGATTGTGCACAGATGAATGTCGCGTCCTGGGACACTCTGACCAGTGCTGGATGCCCCCCCTCTCCTCACCAGCTTCTTCCTCTGACTACCGCAACAACATGTACATCCCTGGGGAGGAGTCCACACAGCAGCCCCAGGTGACTGATGATGACCAGTCCTCTGTTGACTCGGAGCGCCGCAAGAGCTTCTCCACTTTTGGCAAAGAGAGTGGGAGTGAAGAGGCCGGGGCTGGGGGAGTAGTTGCGGGAGGAAGTGATGTTTGTGTCGCTGGAGGAGGGGCTGGCTCTCTCCTCACAGAGATGAACTCTGTGTTTCAGCGCCTCCTCCCCCCCAATATGGACACATACACAGAGTGCACTGAAACAAGCCCACCCTCATCTTCATCAACCACTGAGAGGGGAAGTGGGCGCACTGGAAACATTGCTGGTAACCATAGTAACAATGCTGCTCCTCAGGACAATCGAAGAGGTTTGTTGCCAGGTGGGAAGGGTCCTGCTTACCCCCCAGGTGTGGCTGCATGGGCAGCCAACACCCACTATCTAAATCCTGGAAACGGATCGTCGGCAGCCAATCACGCGTCCCCTTCTCCTTCCTCTACTCCACCATCCACCTCCACTACCACCTCCACCAATGGACAGCCACCACACCTCAAATGGCTGCCAGCCATGGAGGAAATCCCAGAGAACTATGAGGAGGATGACTTCGATGGTGTCTTCCATCAGGGTCACCCGGGTTCCAAACGCAGCGAGAGCCGCCAGGAGGCCAACATGGACGCCAGTGAACTGGTTCATGAGATCAACAAACTGCTGCAGGATGTCAGACAGAACTAAAGAGGGATAAAAAAACAAACAAGGCATAGCATGGGTTCACATTTCACACCGTTCTGGAAACTGCTTATTCTTTGTGCCAACATATATAAACTTTATGAAGACGGTTCCTTGTTCACTGTAATGCTTGTATATTTTACCAAATATCGTCTTTTTCTGCTCAGTGTTGAGAGAGTCAGAGGGAGAAAAACAGTGCACTGAAGTTGTGATTGAGGTGACTTAAAGGCATCAAAGTGAGAGCTGGAAGAACAGATTGCTCACTTGTTATTACCGACTCACTGGAAGATGTTTGAATGAGTGATTCCAAAAGGAAATCCACCAACAAAAACTGTATTCCTTTCTTCATCTGTAATGTTTACAGCAGCGTGAACAGACTCCACAGGGAGAAACCAACAGTTGTGTGATCTAATTCCTGCTTTTACAGTGTACAATATTGTACAGTGTCTGTGGAAAAAGGCAAACTCACTTGAATATTGTGCTCTGTCTCCTGTTTTGTTAAAATGGAATGTAACTGTACAATTTGACCTTTGTATTTTAAAAATACACTCTTTTTTACTTCTATATATTTATATGTGTCCATGTATGTTTGTACAGGAAAAGAAAAGAAATGTCTATTTTTTATATTTGTCACTGCATGTCTTAATATCACTAAATGTGTCTTTTTTTCCTCTGCCCACTTTATTTTATAAGACAGTTGTATTTAATTTGTTATTAAATGTGTGTGTGTATAAAAAATGATCACATTCCAACGCGGTTCCATGTTGGAAGTTGATTTTGTATGGTGACATTGTGACCATTGGATGGTAAATAAAGGTGGAAGGATTCATAAGTAGGTTTCCTGTATTATCCTTTATTCATTTGCCCCCCCTGTCTCTTAGCACCCCCTAATGTTCAGCGTTAGAACTGCAACTCACCTTGTGCATTGCACAGCCAAAACCTGCTCTTTACACCCAACCTCATTATGCCACAATTCACATTCATGCTTCAGCTAATAAACAGGCCATTAGCTTTGGATTTATTTCTCTTTTAAAATATAATTAAGTGTTAATTTAGTTTCAATGTGAACCCTCTGTCTCAATGTCTTTTGCCCATGAAAGCTTTACACTTACAGCAAATATGATTAGCAAACAAACAGCACCTGATAATAGCAGCAAATGATGAGGAATCAAATGCATGCTATCATACACCACAGCCATATGGACTCCTAATATAATTACCAGTAAATAGATGGTAAGCTCTTACCTCACTAACAATCAGCGATCATACAGACTTCACTGGATTACACCTCTGGACCAGAACACATTAACAAGGTAGGCCTGCCCACACCCAGTCAAGAAAAAAAAAAAAAAGAGTCCTGTTACATTTTAAAGAGGGAACATTTAACAACTAAGGCTAAATGAAGCAATTAACCTCATGAGACAGAGCTTTAACAAGGTAAAGGTTAGAATTTGCATACATACACACACACACACACACACACACACACACACACAATCACTTAGCTCACACAAACAGTCACAAGACCACACACATTATTAGACACACATCAGGACATAGAGGAGACTGGCTGGATCCTGTACACATGAAAACACACACATATACACACACTCTAACTCTTAGTCTCACACGCACACACCAACACTTAATAATGAGCTCATTTGTCTTCATCATTAAAGAGGCCAAGCCTCAATAAACAGCGAGGATTGGCTGTGTGTGAGTGAGTGAGTGAGTGAAACTGAGGCATGCCTGGTTCTTCATTAGTTTAGTGTTGTGGAAACCTAAAAAGGCTTCATATCTGACTGAAGCTGAGGAGCAGGGTGTGGAAGTGAATATGTGTGAGCTGTTTGTCAGTGTTTGTACAGTAAAGCCATAGTTTGATACAGGGCTGTCATCATGTCGCAGTTTCATCTTACACTTCTTTTAGCTTAAAAAAAAAAGAAAAAAAGAAAAAGAAAACATGACAACAACATTATTTTTGTGATGTTTTTAGTCAGTTGAAGTAAAGAAAAGACAATGGTGGACTAAATATATCTCATATGTGCAATTGACGTACTACATATCACCATCCATAATAATAATAATAATAATAATAATAATAATAATACATTTTATTTATTGTGCCCTTTACATCAAGCGACCTCAAAAGGCTACATCTTAAAAGCAAAGAAATTTCACAGTGAAGGAATATAAAAACAGGTTATTGGTTGAAAAAAAGAACAAGAGAAACATCTCATTAAAAGAGTAAAGGCAAGATAAGAAACTATGAGGAGGGACCAAAAGTTGAGTTAAAAAGGAAAGTTTTTAGTCCTTTTTATAACTGTTAACTACAGTTGCATTGCATTATCTATGTTGGCATTATCAGTGAGTTGTTAACAGTTATAACACATTATAATACCTGACCTTGCAAGTCATGATAAAATGCTTTATAATTTGTTATGATTATTGCTATAAAGCATTAAGATCATTTATGAGTGTATATAATTGTAGTTATACAGTGATATAATGTGATTATAACACATTATACATATATTTATAATGCGTTATAGCGATAGCCATCAAATAAAGCGTTACCGTTAGGGTATATCTTTGTCACCGGTCCTCTGACAGAAACTACATTTGATTTGTAAACATTTATAAATTATAAAAAGAGTTATAAATTTATAAAATGACTATTTGTGAAGCTTCATTTCTGACATTATAATTTCAATTGCCTGTATTGTAAAGGTATATTTTTGTTTTGAAACAAAGTAAATGCTACTTTTGCTAAGTCTTTATTTCTGGAACTGAATGAAAACAGCAAAAAATCATTCAAAAGTAAACATATTTTAATTACTGGCACCCATGAGGAGGCAGAAGCTTTTACCCTGCCTCTGGATTCACAGTAGATCATGAATCTCACACAGGGCTGCTACAGCTGGCTATCCTGCAGCTGCTACTGCTCCTTTTTTTCATCTTCCTTGTGTTTTACGGCAACAACTACTGCCCCCTACTGTTGACCAGGGATTTACACTGTATCACTTTATACTTTAGTAAGATATCAATAATTCATATCTCTAAAAGGTTGTTATTATCAATAATGGTATATTGCAACATAATTGGTATTCTGCCTAAAGCTACAGAATAACAGTAATGTTACTCTCATATGCTGAATAATAAGCTATAACTTGAGTTTAGCCAGAAGGCTGCAAACAGCTGGTAGCTCTGTTAAAAGGTAAAGGAAACCTCTAAAGATCATAAATTAGCATGTTACATCATGAATGCCTAGCAAGCTGTTTCCCCCTGATTCCAGTCTCTGCGCTACTCTAAGCTTGCAGGCTGCTGACTAGAGCTTCAAAATTTGGATAAAAGTGTGATATCAATCTCCTTCTTCTTAAAACTAAACCACCAAACAAATGTTATATTTTCCTAGATGCCAAACTCACTAATTGGAGCTTTCAGAGCACAGACCTGGTTAGAAAGAGGATATTTTTTTCTCTTTTTTTTACACAGCAGCACAGGCTCAGTGAGTGTGTCACTTCAAACTCAGATTGACAATAGATGATGGATTATCTTTAGCAACAAGAAATGTATTTGGCATAGGGTAATGGTGTGTGTAATAGAAAGAAACACAGGGTGAGAGATCAGGCAGTGCTCATTTATTACAACTCAGATAATTAATTTTACACAAATGCAGCAGTGACACTGATATGATGTTGAAATATGAACTCCACATAATTATTGTCTTAGCAAATCCAGCATTAAATTGTTTGTCAGTCTACTCGCCTCTCATTCATCCTCATTCTTAAATCCCGCTCCTTACATTTTCTCTCTCCTCCTGTTTACCTCCACATCTTTCTCCCATCCTCTGACTATTTCTGGCTGTCCATCTGTCTGTTTTCAGACACACAAGAACACGCGCATAAATATTCTCCCCCACACACAAACATGCACACAAGCATTCAAATCCCCACAGTACTCTCAGCTCATATCACAGCCCGAGATCCCCAAAGACATTAGAGTTTGTAATGTTCATCTCTACTTCATTTCATCTCAGCTCATCTTTCTTTTTTTTCCTGACAGATTTCCTCCTAATCGCTCTGCTAATCATTTTCATATTAACACTACTGTGACAAAAGTTTCAGCTGTTAGAGCCCTGATAATTTCTTTATCTTGTTTAAGACAAAGCCTGAAAACCTTCGCACACTCCCTCCTCATTCTGCGCTAACAACATCAATTTGTTGATTACTATTATGGCAGGAAATTAAAAAGGTGACGCTTGTATTTTGTGGGTTATTGAGTCTGTAGAGATGAACTCTTTCATTTAAAAGTCAGGCGCACTACAGTGACCCTCGGTTCACACTCTGCACTAGTGTCAGGAGAACAGGATATTAGCAAGCTTGTGATAACAACAGAACTTAGGTTTTGTTCGTAGCACAACAAGTCGCTGTGAGAAAACCGCTCTGATGGGATGCCTTAAGGGCCCTGAAGAATTTCAGACTGATGCAGTTGAGACAGGCCGTCAGGTTCTTTAATAGAGGAAGATCTACCTATTCTTGTTTTCTCAATACAGCCCTGTGTTGCACAGGCTGTCTGGTCCATCAGCCTGCCCATCCTTTTGAAGCTTGATTTATACGCAGCTTAAAAGCGAGTGCAGCCTGAAAGACTGACCTTGAGGCCAAAAAGTCCCTGCAGGGTTAGTTGCTAGCTCGACCTCAGCAGCAAACTTTTCAGCGGAGAATTGGGAAAGAAAAGGAGACATAGATAACAGCCTTAGGTTTGAGCACCAGGTTAAAATGATGTGGGTGGTTTCGAGTGATATGTTTGCTTTGATGGACATCTTCAGCTTCTCTTTGTTCGTAGACAGATTGTGTCTGTATCATTCTCCCTGTTTAAAGATGTTGGCAAAACTTAAGACAGTGAAATACCATGTTCCTTTGCATCCAAGAATAAGTGTTCAAAAGGAAAGTCACTGGCTTCCAACCTTGTTTTCTGACTACTCAAAACAAAATACTTGTGATCTCAGGAGAAGGGCCAACCTTCACCCAGGGATGGACCTCCAAGAAGCATTTGTTGCATGATTTGAGTGATTTGTCGAGCCCCAAAGGGAACACTAACAAAGGAAGATCTAGCTGTCTTGCTGATACTTAAATACCTTCTCCTTGTGGCCAGGAATAACATTTTGTTAACAGGAATAAAATTAAAGATTCACAGACTTGTCATGACAGGAAAAAACTTTTAACCTGCTATAAATATGGGAGAATACAATGAACAATGTTGTGAATCATGCCTGTGTTTGATAAATCTACATATCTACAGTGAAAAAGAAGTGCTTTCTCTTTTTTTACCACTTTTTTTTAGAGTGACAACAGCATTTGGTTTCTATTCTTGTAATATTTGAATATCTCATATGAAATAAATGCAAAATTTATCAAACAAACGGACACAATGACCATATCTTCTGCATACTCAGATTAATATACATGCACATCCTGCTTTTCCATCATGAGGTCTGTGTGCACTGTGGAGCATTGGTAAAGATTTGTCCAGCAGATGGCACTGTGGGACCTGCCTTCTGACAATGGGGGGATTATTTCACAATAACACTCAGACCTCAAGATACTGCCACACCATCAAGGTCTGCTGAGGAGCCTTGGAGCGAGAGGAAGGAGCAGTGCTAATGTTGAATCATTTTGTTATTCTAATTGCCTCCTTGTTTATGCATCCACAGGTTTTAGCCCCACCTGATTTTATGCAGTCAGAAATTGTGAGATGTTCTTTTTTATGTTATTTTCTTTTTTTGGTGTGTGAGTGTGTGTGTGTGTGTGTGTGTGTGTGTGTGTGTGTGTGTGTGTGTGTGTGTGTGTGTGTGAGAGATAGAGAGAGAGTGCACCCCCACTCATCACTGTGGCCACAAAGGATAAGTGTGAATGAGTGCCTGTTTATATGCCACTGTGCAGCTTGTGGGGATGTCAGTCTGGGCCTTTGCATGTGTATGTTTGTGGTTGGGTGTGTTTGCTGTACACTCACCCTCTAATGGATATCCCCATTTGGCTTACCATTTAGAATTGGAGAGCAGCCAGTTGAAGACACTCCCCCCCCCCCAGACTCGCTCTCTCATTCTCTCTCTTTCTCTCTCTCTGTCTCTCTCTCATACCCCATCTCTCTGTCTGTCTTTCTCTGTCTCCCTCTCTTTGGACAATTGGATTAGCGCAGAGTGATAGAGACTTAAGACAGAATCTCTCGGCTGCAGCCAGTACCTTGGCCTCATGCCACATTTGATGCACACATACCCGTACACATAAACGCCACATGCGAAATCACACCAACCCGCTGCTGCTGTTGTTCTTCCCCAAGGCTAAGCTAGTTAGTTTGATATCCAGATGGCTTAATTACTACATGCTTATAGACAGTCACACTCGTGATTGTGTATGTGTGCATTTGTCTGTTGTACTTGAAGGAGACTGCTTTGATGTTGGCTGTGACTTTATGCAGGCCGAATGTAAAATTATGCACAAGCATAAATGCATAAGAATGACAGAATAATGAGGGGAAGGATGGATTTTGATGCAGGTTAAGGTTTTTCTAGTCTTTTTCAACTAGGAGCACACGAGAAGAATGAAGAAACAAAGACGGGCAAAGATTTCTTGAGTGTTTTTGAAAAATAACATATTTATCCATATTAAAGGTCTTTACATACCGGGGCCGACACAAATATAGAACGCAAAATCATGAAATATTTGGAGGTGAATTTTGACACGCCAGACTATACACATCAAGCCCGACATGATTTTGCGACTTTCCTGGGGGGGAAAGACCCATCCCGGGGAAGACTTTACCGGTGGAAAAGCCCAACAGTCAGCACTTAAAGCCAATCGGAGGCGAAGGAGGGCATCCCGGTTGGAAGCGAAAAGACAATTAATGGAGTCTACTTCAACTTCAAGTGATGGCGAATTGGTACTCCTTTTGCTTTGACAAAAGAAAAAGAAACGTAGCTCATGGGTGCATCCAATATTACAAAAAAGAAGAGAACTTGGTGAGTTTCACTGCTTGGTTCAGGAGCTGAAACTCTACCATGGTCGCTGATTGTTTTCAGTTCTAGTTAGACACTAGTGTTGAGATGGCTTTCTGACATGATAGCAAATACTGAGTCGGGGGCAGTACCAGATGAGCACATTTAACTATGGTAACAACCGGTAGCTAACGTTAGCACAGATGAAAGTTAAAACAAAGACGTTTAGCAAACTGTTAAAGCACACAAACCATCGTCATATGAGAGATCTGACACTATGACTCTCTACAAATTGTCCTACAGGTCGTTATATTTGTAATGTGTGTGTCTTTTATCAAAAAGCACTCTGTTTTCCGACACGTAAACAATCAGCCAGTTGGATATGTTGGATATGTTGGATATACCGGTGAATCAGACGTCACAACAACACGCAATCTGATTGGTCAGAAGTGGACACACAGTATGCGAAACTTTGGAAAAATCACCTATGATCCAAATAAATTACAGCTGCAATATCGCAGAACAGGAAAACGTCTCTCATGTGAATACTTGTATTGACAGGATACGGGTTCAAAAAAAATATTGACATCAGAAATAATCGCACGACAAAAATGGTCCCGGTGTGAAAGGACCTTTAAAGGCAAATCAGTGTCAAGACTGTGGTGACAGAGAATCAAAGCTGAGGTAGGCTAACCAAAAAATAATATGTGTGAATCAAAGGCTGTCATCAGTAAATCACTTTTTTGTGGACTTTTTACACTTGTAGTATAGAGCTGGAGTGGACTCTTCAGCAGAAATGTCTGTTTCATGTGCTGGATTTGCCTGGATAGAGTCCCAGATGGCAAAGAGGACTCCTCTGATTGCGGACTTTGTTTTGTTGATATCAAAACGATATGATTTTGAATGAATCCACAACCTCAGTGAAAAGATTCAAATACAATATACAAGCAGAGAGAGTAAACAGATTTTAAAAATTCATACAGCAGCTAAACTTGGTGCAGCATTAGTAAGCGCACTTTTTCACTTGCTGGGAATTGCTGGACACTTCTTGCTCTCTTCACACATCAGCTCGCTCCAGCATTAAATGGGCTTTCTTCTTGGTGGCTGGCAGGATAAAGCCTGTGAAGTGTCTGGTTCATTTTAATTTTGTTCATTTTTGGTCCCATATGCAGTTCCATTGGGTAACTTCTGGGCTTGTTTGGGAGTAGGCGATGTGTGAAAAGAGGCCAGATAGAGGATAGATATGGAGGGTTTGTAAACATTGTGCTGTCATGACATCGGTGACAGGATCATAACACTGAGGAGCCAAGAGAGAAATGCTGGACACACCAAAGTGGCAAACTCCAGTTTTGTAAAACAAAGCCAATGTGCAAGTACAAAATAATCTCCTCAATCTTTCACTTCATGCTACTTCAAAGAGCCAAGACCTCCCTTTTCAGCCACACGTTTTAATGCTTAACTTTAGGGTTAAATGATCATGTTTGCAGCCGAGGTCAGCCTCATTTTTTATTCATACTTACTGCTAGGGATGATTTTTTTTAATGACTCAAAACCAGACAAAAGGCTGACAGTTTTTCATGACTCTGTATAAACAGGGTCAGGGCTGAGGTGAAAAGTGGGCATATTGTGGCTGTTTAGCAGGAGGCTAACAGTCTGTTCCAGCTCTACCAGCTCTCTGTCCATGCTCAGGTTAATCAACAGTAAAGTTGAGTCAGCATTAGCGAAACAAAAACCAGCCTGAATGGGCTTTAAAACTCATCTTGGAAAACCACCAGCTGATGCCACAGAGATGACCATGTTTTAAACAGTCAACGGTCAGAGAGCAGCGAACAGACAAAAGTGAGAATAGAATAGAATAGAATATCTTTATCGTTATTGTACATGTACGACGAAATTGAGTACAAACTTTGTTAGTGCAATAACGACATACAAAACATACAAAAAACATACAAAAAACATACAAAAAACGAGCACACACAGGGCATATTAAACTCTGGTAAAGTGCGTTACTTGCAGTTAAGAGCCATTATTGCTTGCAGGTAAAAAACTGCTTTTTTAAAGCTGCACTATGTGGTGTAACTATTTCCTGGCTGTAGTTGGGCAATTGCAAATTGCAGCATAGTAAAGAAAGCTGAAATCCAGGGCCACACCCTTGGCTTTAGCAGTCCAGATTTAGGAAAGAGGGGAAAAAAGTCGTTTTAAAGACTTCAAAAAAGCTTTGGAAAACTAAACAACTCTGAACAGTCAACCCAAAAAATAAATAAAAAAATAAAAAAATAAAGTGCATCTGAGTCAAAACATTTAATTGTCTTTGGTTGCAAAAGGGAGTCCAGAATCCAGTATGAAAATGGGAAAAAAGTAACACTAGTAAGTGTAATACTGTGTTAATATGAAAAATAAAAAAATCTAATAAGACTGTTTAAAAAAAAATCCTTGTTCGCTGTATTTGTACATTCCATGTGGTTCATATTGTAAATTGAAGTCTGTATCTGGTGAAATAAACAATAAAGAAGGGTATTCTTCAGGGCATGGACACTGTATCAACCCCTAAAATAAACCATTTCAGGTTAAATTGCATCACTTGAGGCTTTAAAGTAGTCGTCCATGAAACACTGAGTGAATCACCATGGCAAGATCCATTTCCTGTGTGTAGCATATTATATACTCAGTTTTCAGAGAAGAAGAAGAGTAAAGAGTGTGGTGAAATAAAACAATTTTTTACTGTGAATTTATTCTGAACATCCACACCAATCTTTATATCTTGGAATTTTGCATTATAAATGAGATTTCGCAGCCCTATTTCCATTCAGGAATCCCAGGGATAAAATAATTTAAACTGAAGTGTTAAAGGAGAAGCAGAAAAATGAGGCTATGTATGAGTGGAGGAAAAAAAGACAATGCTACTGAGAGTGGGTTGCAGACGGAGAGAAAGGTAGTGCAACTGCAGCGATATTTCCCTGATGACCTGTCTCCCCCCCATGTGACCTACTTCCACTATGGGTTGCGTCAGATCCCATCCACTCAGTAATTCATCTCCCTTTTGGTGTATGTGGGTGTCTGTGATTGTGTGTGTGTGTGTGTGTGTCTGAGTGTGGAGGCAAGAGAGAGCAGCCTTCTGTGCTTATGCCTTGTATTTTAGAATTATTTTCCAACCTTTGTAGCACTTTGGAGCTCAGATGTGCATGCTCAGATGTGTGTGCATGTTTAGGAGTGTGTGCACACTTGTGTGCATGCATATGTGTGTTTATTGTTTTAGTGTGCTTATGTGTGTGCATTCATACATTCAGAGGAGTAAAGTGTTACCAGAGGCCATTTATCCAGAGATCACAGCAACCGTGGGTCTGCTTGTACCGCCTCATACTTAACAAGAAATCAACCCTCTATGCGAGTGTGTGCGTGTGCTTGTTTGTGTGCAGGGTGTGTGGGTGTATGTGTGCTCCCAATAGCAGAGAATCAAACAAGCTCTGCTACTGTCTTGTCTTGTTGAGGATCCTCCGTGTTCAACCGGAGCTCGAGCATGGTGTCATGTCTTCCTCAAGTAAACAAATGGAGCTTGTTGTCGACATGCTTTTGAGTCGTACAAAGACAGCTTGTCTGGGTTGTTTTGGCCACCTACAGCACATGTCAAACATGCTTTCTCACCACCATTGCATGTTTTAAACCTTTATAAAAATGGTCTCTTGTATTCCTCATAAAACATATTTGGCTGGATGGGAAGGTTTTGGATCCTAAGTGAATCAGTCCGGTCAACGGGATATTCCTGCGTAAATTAAGTTAGGGTCAAACACATCGTAACACCAAGTGAGACACCCCGTTGAGAGATGAATGTTGCCGACCGCTTGCTTTTCCAGTTATACCAACTTTAGTAACGACCGCAGATAGCAATACAGAGAGCCCCGTGCTCAACCAAAAAGCCACTCTATAGCTCAGAACAGCACCTAACTTCATCAACAGTACATGTAGGGTCCCAGCCATAGCACTAGCCACCAAACATCTTTGTAACTTTGCCTGATTTCTTTAGCAAAGAGACTAAACACAATTCACCATCTCTCTTCTAGCAGGCACTTTATCATTTCCATGAAGTAATAATCATAAATGTTCTTCCTTGAGCTGCATCCCCCCGATATGTTTGACCCTAACTTAATTTTACGCCGGAATATCCCTTTATGAAAGAAACTTGAGGCTTGGATGATTTAACACAAAGCCACCACAAAATTATATAATGCAGGTGAATTTAAAGAGATAATTCACAGGATAGAGAGCGAGTGCCTTATTTTTAAAGGTAGTGATGAGTTTAAGTTGTATTGGTTTGAGTGTTGCATTTAAAATAACCCATCTGTTCTCACCTCTAAGTCATCAATGCAGCACCCTGGACACGGTCTCAGTGCTTTCAAATATGGAACTGTATGTATATTTTGAATGTCCTTGTCCAGCTTACTGAATTCATGATCTTTATATAGAGATTACTTTGGACTCTTCAAGTGTCAGACATCCCCGGGACTTACTTCATAGAGAAATCAGTGTGTTGACAATGAAATCAATTTTTAATGTAGACCTTTTTCAAAGTTATATAACTGACATTGGCCATGTTATGCACAATATGACATTTGTGATATTACATAAGCAGTATTGTAACTAACCACTGAATAATGCAATACTGTATCTCTATCATTTAATGTCAGTAGTTTATCCAGTTACGTTTGTTTCCTCTGTTGTCAAATAGCCAACCACGACTTAAGATTAATTATCCGACTCAGCAGGCTGAGGTTACGGCGACAACAGCACAGTAGCAACCTGAATGTCACATACAGTGAACACATGCTGGCAGATGATTATTCAGGTGGGAGCAATCTGTCTTAAAAACATCAGTTTAATTTCCCCTCCTCAAGGTCAAGGATGAGAGTATGGGGCTGATTTGTAGTATTAAATGCAGGAAAGAAACCTTTGTCCACTGCTGAGACGAGTAATTTTAATTTCACAAAGCAATTTATCAAACAACTTACTCCTCTTAAGCTAGCTGCCAGAGCGTCTTAACACTGGTGACCAAGGAGGAGCCACACCATCCAAGCAGCAGAGCTATGATTCACTAAGAATTTATCCATAATGAATTATCATACATTACTATTGAAGACATGCTTCTCATCATCATTTGCAGAGTCTGGGCCAAACTAATACAGCCAAATACTGGTGAGACTAGACAACACAAAATGTGAACAATGTAAGAGTATTGAAACAAAAAGAAGTTATCTAAAATTTTTATATTTCTGTCTGTTGACAGAAAACCAAGCAAATCAGCAAAGTTTCATCATTACATCTTGTCCTTTCGGATAATCAAAGCCTGATTTGCTCGTCTAAATATTGGGCACCAGCTGTTGTTTTCCTCCCCTTGCCCAAGCTGTCCAGTGCAGATTTTGTATGATTAACAGTGAGTTAAGTCTCAAGTGAAACCCTTGGTTATGGGTACATCTTTATCTTCCACAAAAACACGGACTCAGCTGTTTTATGGAAAACCACTCCACAGAGAGGCTACGAATTTTACAAGCAAACTGAAGTTGTTAGACCCAGAAATGATGATTTTGATTATTGAAAGTCTTTGAAGTGTACTTATTGATTACTAATTGACCATTTATTTTCTCCTTCATATTATTGAAATGGTTGCTTAAATGCTAACTTTACTTAAACCTTTGGGTCATTGTGGGTAAAATGACTATCTTTAAATACTGTTTAGTGTGTATTTGTATTTCTGGTCAATTAATTGAATTATTGACTTTTGTGATCATTGACTGCTCGAATATTCAGTAATATTATGGTTGTATGTTTGTGCATACATTGAATTTTTATTGGGTTACCCCCTGAAATAGTAACTAGTTCACATTTGGTTTAAATGATATTCATTTATGTTTTGGCCTATTAGGTCAGGTTTTTATACTGGTCCTATCAACCTATCAACTTAAGTAGATGGCGAGCTGTTGACCCATTGGAGCCCCTGCCAGCACTCTTGAATATTCGGATCTTGGATTGATGGTGTTTCACAGACAAGGGTTTGGAGCAATTTGCTTTCTTCTTTAATTTTTTTTTCCTTGTATAAACTGAATTAGCATCCTGACAGCTTTTGGACTGTACCTCAAACATACCCCTGCAATACTGTATGTTTTTGTTGTTCATCTTGCTAAATTTATTGCTATTTTATTTAAATACGTTACATTACATAAAACCTATATTTCTATCTGTTGCCTCATTCACTCATACCTCGGGCTCCTTCCAGACCGGGTTTTCTGATGCTGCTATTCTATGTCGTCGTAGTCAAATGCCTAGCTCAAATTAGCGTTCTATTTGTCTTGAACTTTATACTCTCACTACAATATGAAACTTATTTAGACAAATAATTAAATGAAATAATTATAATTACTGAAATGTAAGTGCACACATACTGTATGTAAAGGCACAGTGATCCTTTGTGGTTCCCAGGGTTGTGCTTGAACGTGAAAAAGTAAACCTGGCCACTACTGTGTTCATGTTCTGGCGAACGGTGAAGCAGCAGATGAGCATGAACAATAATCTAGTTTACTCTAAAACTGTCAAGACCCCACCATACAAGGAGATCCAAGAGTGTCTGAGAGTTACAGAGCACTGTTTTGTACGGCAGTTGAAGTTGGATTTATAGCACCCAGCATGCATCTGTCCACGTTTATGCTGGCAGCAAGCTTTTTTGGTATTTAATAATAATAGTAATGAGCTGAAAGGGGGCATATCGCCACCTACTGTAGCAGAAGTGGACATGCATCTGTCAATAATTCGATTCTTGCTCGACAAGGACAGTAGTCCAGTTAAATCACCTGACAGAGATATAACCGTAGCTGTGACTGTAAACATACTTTAAGAGGTCAGTTGGGAAAGCCCTATATTAATAGAGCTGTACATAATATTTATCATACTGTTAAGAATACATGCCAAGTCTGCTTGGATTATCTGAAAACTATTTGTTACTGTTCATTAAAGCAAAAACAAAAAAAATACTTGAGGTGATAATCTGCCACTTTACAGCTTTTCTGCTTTCTAAAAAGCTACAAAAGAGTGAATAAAAATGCTTTATTTGAAACATTATCACATTTACTGTGAGCTCACATAAAATGTTTCCTCTTACATCAAGTTATTGACAAATCAATCATGGAACTTCTCATGTTCAGGCACACAGTGTTTATCTTAAATGTCACATGTTCTCAATTTATCACCTAATATTTCATGTAAAGGTTACCTCTCTGGTGGGAGCAGCTGAAGTGTGAGGCTGATGACTTATTTCCACATGGAGTTTAAAAAAAAAAAAAAGAGAGAGAAAAAAATTCTTCATCTCTCCTCCGCAGTCTCTTCATTTCTCTCTCCTTCTCCCCTTTTGTCAGCTTCCTGCTGTCAGAGATCTTTCTTAAAAGTATGTGTCAGAAATGGAGGGAGAAGATGAAGAGGTGGTAATGGTGGCAGGTGTTATATCTGAAGACGTGTATGTGTGTGTGTCTGTGTGCCCTCCCCCCCCGTGTGTGAGTGTGTGTGAGTGTGTGTGAGAGTGTGTGTGTGAGTGCGCCTGTCAGTGAGGTACAGGTGCTGTTGCAGTGTCAGGGAGAACTGCAGGCTCAATCTGGGGTCGGCTGATTGGCCAATTAGGGACTGTTTCCATGTGACACCCGGCAGTCAATTTACTCTCCCTTTTTCACTGTCTGTCCCTCTCTCTTTTCGCCCCCACCCTTAAGTGGCTCTGTCTTTACTGCTATCCTATCTGTCTCTTCCAGTATCTCTTACCCTTTTTCTTCCTACCATTCAATTTGTTCTCTCTATCTCACTTACCTTGTCTATTTGGTATATGTGCTGCCTGAATGTAACCCTCTTTCTAGTGTTAGATTATTTTAAGTACCTACTGATTAATCCTGTGTCATTTTGTGATTAATCATTTAACTTTCCTAACACAAGATAATTGAATTGGCATTGCGTTTAGTGGTAGGATAGTGCAATCCAGTTTTGTGCACATAGTAATTTTAATAATCATGAAATCGAAACTACAAATGAGAAAATGAATAAGCTATGGGAGGGAAAATACTACTTAAAATAATAATAATAATAA